ACCATTTTTCAATGGTGGGAAAGGTGGGAAGTTGTGTTGCATGTGACATCTAGTAAACTCATGTTTCATTTAGAATTCAGGCTTTCCCACTTGTGCATATCCCTGCTGTTGGAACAAAATCTCATATCTCTAATATGATAACTTTACAGGAGAAGCAAAAACCTTACTTTATTTTTAATGTAAGTCAATGGAACCAGAATTTTTTCCGTGTAATTTTGGGCCATTTGTTTTGGTCCATTGGTCATGAAATTTACGTACAGTGTAAAGGGCAACAAGCATTTTCAAACTATGTCAAAAACTGAAAAACAACCAAAATAAGATAGAAGGTTTTGTTCCAGCAGTGATATATATGTGTATATGTATATATATATAGTATTACAAATAGTCGAACTGCATTAAATAGTTGACATTGAGTGCAATTTAGAAGCCAGAAATAGGCATTTCCCAGTTTCCATTTAAATTTGAGTCACCATAGCACAGCACAGTTTCAACTATTAACCCAACTCGACTGACCATCAAAGCCTTCCTGAGCTGGTTTGTTGGGGCAGTACTGTGCAGTACTGTTGTCACCAGTGGTGGGATTAAGAAACACATACTAAACAAAGCGACAAAACTATTAAAATACAGGTGTAGTGTTAATTTAATATGTGATACAGTTGCATTAAGTTATTTAGATGCTTTCCAGATGACAGTTGAGTTGAAAGACATAGCAATTACTTGGACTCTTCAGGTACTTAAGTACTCACTCTTTGTAAGTAATAGCAACACTTAAAAGCACTTCAGAAATCTGGCAGCAAGAGTGCACTTTAGTGAATTTAATTAAACAAAAACATTATCCTGGTCTTCCTGGCCACTCAGAGTGTCCATTCAAAAGAACACAAATATGCCTAGTAAACCAAACTGCATAAGTCAGAGAGATAAAGAGAGCAAGCTTTTGTTACCTGCTTCACAGATATAGGCCATCAGCGCCAAGACAAGCAGAGATACAGCCAGCTCCCCTCGTCGGCCCATGTCTGCCTCTTCCTCAGAGCACTGAGACCCAGAGCATCCAAGCCCCAGAGCTTTGTAGCACACCTGCCAGCCTAAGCCCCTCCCACTGGCTGCTGCAAAACAACCATCCGGAGGGGTGTGGCCCCCAAGCATCCGCCCCAGGTGGATGCACCTGAACCGGCACCAGCATCGCGTTTACATAACCTCTGTCGCAGCCCTGGGGCCTAGTCTGAGGTTTAGCAACTGAACGATATATGACACGATGAGTAGGAGATATTTTACACCGTTAGCACTGACTGAGCGTTTGTAACGTAATAGTTGCCAGATGGACGATCAGGTTTGCGCCGTGGCCCTAAAAGCTTGATTGTAGTCCATTTAATCTGAGTAAACACTGCCATGATTACAAGCTTGTTAGTGGTGGTTGATGTGTCAGCTGGATGGAGGCAGAGATCTGCAAGTTGCTGGTAGTTGTAGAGAATGCATAAATAAGTGCATCAAGTTGAATTAACCTTTTTTCACAGTAGACATAAAATGAAATTTCTCCCTATTTTGAAGGCCTCTCAGTTTTGCACTATGCATTATAGATTGACAAAATATATTTCCAAACTTTGAAAACATAGTGATTTCTGAATTCTGTAACCCTTGCCTTAAATGTATTCAGTGATGTATGCCATTACATTATAACAAGGCAGATGGGAAAAACTCTGCTGTTGTAATTTTCATTTAATTTACACTTTTCCTCACTGCTACTGGCAGTTCATGCAATTCATGTAAATCATAACAGTTTGTTTCTCATTACCTGCTTCAATCCGCTGCTGCTCTCATAATCCCACTGCCATCTCATGAACTGAGCAAATGATTTTCCATATCCCAATAACAAAATCTTGCAAAGTTGTCTATAGAGTGGGTAGGATTTTTAGAGTTACCACCACAAAATGAATGCTTGAATCCAGTAAAATGCCAATCGAAACTTATCACTTGTTTACACATCCTCAACTGACTGTACAGTTTAATCATCCCTCAAAAGACTTCAGTAATGCTGAGATCAATAACTGATCATCACATTGATTTATCAGTCTAATCAGGCTTTAGCAGAGCTCAGTAACACTGAGATCAATAACTGATCATCACATTGATTTATCAGTCTACTCAGGCTTTAGCAGAGCTCAGTAACATTGAGATCAATAACTGATCATCACATTGGTTTATCAGTCTACTCAGGCTTTAGTAGAGCTCAGTAACACTGAGATTAATATCTGATCATCACACTGATTTATCAGTCTACTCAGGCTTTAGCAGAGCTCAGTAACACTGAGATCAATAACTGATCATCACATTGGTTTATCAGTCTACTCAGGCTTTAGCAGAGCTCAGTAACACTGAGATCAATAACTGATCATCACATTGATTTATCAGTCTACTCAGGCTTTAGCAGAGCTCAGTAACACTGAGATTAATAACTGATCATCACATTGATTTATCAGTCTACTCAGGCTTTAGCAGAGCTCAGTAACACTGAGATTAATAACTGATCATCACATTGATTTATCAGTCTACTCAGGCTTTAGCAGAGCTCAGTAACACTGAGATTAATAACTGATCATCACATTGATTTATCAGTCTACTCAGGCTTTAGCAGAGCTCAGTAACACTGAGATTAATAACTGATCATCACACTGATTTATCAGTCTACTCAGGCTTTAGCAGAGCTCAGTAACACTGAGATTAATAACTGATCATCACATTGATTTATCAGTCTACTCAGGCTTTAGCAGTGATTTTAAAATAGTTCAGTAAGTGCTGAGATGTGTTTCTTTTAAAAATAGTATTTTTTTTTTTTTTTATTTAGTGGGTCAGTATTCTAAAAGTATTCTCCTAAAAATATAAAATAATGTAGGTGTATTCTGAATATTGCCTTTACAAAATGTAATTTGGACTGAATAAAATATAATAATACGTATTCCCAATACTTGTATTCCACCTAATCCCAACCCTGTATATTTCAATGAAACATGTATCATTTACAAAATTGGAAGCAAACTGGATTTTTCTCTACATACGTGATCCAGTAAGTCAGCACTATTTTTATTAGTCAGAAGTGTTTTTATTGTGGCATAATTTCTTGATATCAAGAAAGCTGCACTTGTGCTGTCCATTTTATCTCAGCACAGCCATGTTTTTGGAGAGGTGTGAACTGTTTTCACAACAGGGAGCTCTTATCCCTCCCCTTTCATTCCTCATTGCTCGCTAACAGCTCAACACAGACAGCCAACAGTGTCCTAGATAATCCGATAAAAATGTTAGTTGGAAAAATATTTGGCTTGATTATATGAACTGCAAATATCCAAGAGTATTTCCATTCTGCTGGTGGAATGGCCACTAGGGGGCCTGCAGCAGTTCCCAAAACTGGACATGGAGTACCCCTGCCCTGCAAATTTTAGGGTTTTTCCCATTCTTAATGCTGCTGCTTCAAGTCAAGAAAGGTTTCCTAATTAGCTGATTATTTTGTTCCATTTTTGTTTAAGTAAGACAAACATCAAAATACTGAGAGCGCACTATCAAACCTTTCCATTCTGCAAAAGTTCTTCAAGCTTTAAAGGGTTCCTCTCACTCTCCCTCCCTCACTCGCTCCTGTTTCCTCTGTGACATCACTTAAAAACCCTTTTTGGCAACTTTATCACTATAGAAGGGCGCTCCAGCACCAGGGTTGGGAACCACTGAGTTAATGGATGCTGACTAAACACCCAGCAGTGTCCACTCTTCTTTAGACCCATACTGCTTGCCTCACACCTGTGTCGCATCTAGATATCGGCGTGGCTCAGTTACCTGCACTGGTTCAGGTGCGCTGCTTCAGGTGTGCCATCGTTCAGTTCAGGTTCAGCAGCGTCCCACCTCAAACAATTTAGCCCTTGTTTACTAGAGCGCGACAAATCGGATCCTGAAGATTCTAAGGGATTATACAGATTGGAGGTGGATAGAGTGCTTTCATGGACAAAGGGTCTTGTGATTCGGGGTATACTGTTACCTCCCCGTCTAATTAAGAAGCCATCGAGAACCTGGACAGAAGGCAAAGATGGAGAAGTTCCATCGGTTGAAAACCCTCCGCCGAAGAGCCATTAGAAACTGACCATGATAACCCCTGAATGGGATCTGCCATGTACTGTGTGTTCCTTGCTGGACGTGCCAGCCGCTGGTGTTCGCTTGCAAGCGCTTGGTGTGGTTGCTGCTTGAGATTCGTGCCACAACCCCATTATTCTCTACGGTTTCACTTTGCGAAATTCTGCACGCAGGAAGCCGCCATTCTTGACTCTTCCACCAACTTCTAGACGCCTGGCCAGTTTAAAGAGAGCAGAACTCGATAGCTCATTGTGAACTAGCTGGCGTGAGTAGATGGAACTCGTTTAGTGTATTTATGTGCAAATGTTTTCTTTAATCAGTAAGATGCAAACAAAGTTATTCAGTTGAGTTTGATGTGAAATGGGCCACTAAGGAGAACTTAGCGAGTAAGAATTGTTCACAGTGGTGGTGATAGGAACCAGACGTCTGAAGCATTTAATACCTCTAAAGGTTACAAATGTGGTGCCTGATGTCTTAAATGTTGTTTTACAATAGTTTTCTCATAAGGTTTTGGGTTAAGACATATATTTTAAGTCCATTCATGGCAGAGACGTCCATGTTGGGTGTTGAAAGACAACACAGTACCCAAAGAAAACCTATTTTGGATTGTAAATAAAATGGGTATATTTATGTTGTAGATATTGTGACCCCCTGGTTCCTATCACCACCACTGTAAAGGCATTTTTGTTGGTTAAGTTCTTCTACAATGAACCATGTCACATCAAACCACTCTAAATGACCTTGTTTACATTTCAATCATTAAATTATGGGGAAGTTTTAAAAACATCAGTGGACCTCCCCTTTAAGCTGCTGTTCCCATAGCAATACATAGCCGTGGTTAATGCAAGATTAATACTATACTGTAACCATATTACAATAAGATTAATACAACATTGTGTTACAATATTAGTCCCAGTTTATTTTTATATAAAGTTATAACACTTCTTTTGTCATTTTTACAGCAAAGTATATGTGCCTTCCCTTGTTGATTTAAAGCTACTGAAATGTTATGAAACCAAAAAAAAACAAAAACAATAACGACATGAAATCAGAATACCAGTACAAACACATGTCAGATTTGTCATATTGATTGTTATTTTAAATGGCTTTAGAGATCATTAAAGGCAAAATCCAATTATACAATCGTATGCAAAAGTTTAGGGGCCCCGGTCACACTATGTGTTACGAGCATAAGCACACACTCTATACAGAGGACACACTTCTAAACATTTTAATGCACAATTACTGTTCATTTGCTGGATTTAACATATCGAAAAAATAAAAAAAAACATAAAATGTGGCCTGTGCAAAAGTTATGGCACATTCTATGTTTTCTGTTCTATGCAAAACATTTGCAGAAAAATACCATATTTAAGTTGGTTCCCTGTAAAGAAACATATGCTCAATCAACAAACCGTGACTTGACCGGGGGCGTACAAACTTTTGCAAGCAACTGTATTTGTGCTTTAATCCATAGTGTGTCAATCAAATAATTCTGATAAGTGCTACTAAAATATTGACAAAGTGTCAGAAAAAATTAAGAAGAAAAACGAAAGCTGTAGGTTTTTCTTGTACATATGAGTTTGTAGTCAGTTAGATCAGTGTGAGCTTCTACCAGTGATTGATTATCCTAATTTCCGATTGTAATTAACAGCTGGAAAATGCATCTTTCTCACTCTCCTCTCACACATACACACACACATACTCGCACGCACTCCGTATGCAGCTATGCGCTACAGTATTCAGCCATCTAGGATAACAAAGAACACATCTTGCGTAATATTGATTGAAATGCAGTAACAGTCAGGCCTGCTTGCTCTCACAAAGGCACTGGAAAGAGCAGAGACGAACAAAACAGCTCCACCCTGTCTCTACAAAAAATACATTCTTTTGTTTTTCCTGCTGTAAAGTGATAAGCACTGTGCAATAGCAAGACCATCACTGGTTCATTATGATATCACAGTAACGATTAGGTTTATCTCAGCACGTGTCAACTTATAGCGGACAAGTCTTGCACATACATGATACATGCGCTTTCATTCTTTTTATAAAATGGTGAAAAAACATAGTGGTTTTAAAGAAAAAGTGACTTGTGCCGATGGTTATGTATTTTTCTGAAGGTGGTCGTATTACTTCACAATCGCCAATTAATTATCACAGCAAAAGTCAGGTTTTCTCAGCACTTGTCTGTTCTTAGTGGACAGATATGGACAGTACGGTGCAAAAGTCAGAGAACACGTTTTGGTTATTTAATTTCCTGTAAAAACAGCCATTAAGGACAAGTTATTCATTTTCAGGTGATGCAGTTGAGGAGATTCGATATAAAATATGCGTAAGAAGGTGGATTAAGTTAATATAGTTGGTCACGCTTTATTTACAGATGATTTACAGATACTTACAGAGCCCCACTGGTGACATCCTGTATAAATAAAAAATAATATGTGGCCACGACTTAGTAAGGCATGGGAACAAGATAATTAAGTCGTGCCTATGACTTAGTAAGGCATCCAGACCGAATGTGTTTAGGATTACTTGGATCGTGAGAAGCAAAAAGTGTGACCAACTTCTTAATAGAAGAACCTATAGAACCTATCACACTCAACTTCAAGATCAGTTGAATTTAATAGATGTTTAGTTGAATGTTAATGTTAAAGACAGACTGATTATCTATAAAGCATCTACAGTGGACCAACAAAATAAAGTGTGACCAAAATATGTTAAACGGAAAGGGCAGTTTCCAAAAAAATTATTAAAAGACACTTTTAATAATGGGACTCCTAACAACCATGCAAGACCTGGTAGACCACCAAAACTGTCCACCTCAGATAAAATGCACTGCAAGCTTTCATTTTTGAAAGAGAGGAGAAAATCAAGCTCCACTTTTGCTTTATGTGTAGGATGTGTAGCCGTCAAGAAGCCCTTACTGAGAAATGGAACAAGGAGGAATCAAACAAAGAAGGTGTTGGTGTTCTCAGAACAATAGAGTGGCCATCCCAAAGTCCAGACCTCATTGAATTTGTTTAGGATTACTTGGATCATGACAAGCAAACCTGCAACCAACTTCTAAGACTGAACTTTGGAGGTGTGGAAAAATATCCCTGCAGAAACTGAAAGCAAGTCTCCCAAAACCAGTGGACGCTGTAATAACACTACATACCAAAAAAACTTGATCTTATATTTAGTTGTTGATTCTGCAAAATGAGTAACTTGTACTTAATGGTCATTTTGACTGAAGGGTGGTTTCTGGCTTTTGCACAGTATAGCAGTTTCACTCGTATTAGTGGTTCTGATTGGGTGCAAAAGTGACCTGCGCCGATTGTTTTTACATAGTTGGTATTGTGTTACGTTACATAGCTGTTATTTTGTTTTCATGTGTATGGGACATGCTGTATACTTGGCAGTTGTGAGACCAACGATTTGCATTAATACTGATAGAGTTTTCTGATTGCCTGTACATAAAGATATTAGAGGTTAATAAAAGACACTTCTGCCTTTGCACCTCTCTCTCAAACCAGTGGCTCTCTGGAACCCTGGTCACTCCATTTGTTGCCAGGAGACAACCGTCCGCCGTTCACACTCACAGTGTCTTCCGAAAGTTCATCTCCGGACACCGTCGCATCTATCGTGGATGAAACAACTTGGAGTAAAGGAAAGCCTCTCTCTCTTTCTCGATGAGTCACGTTCCACGTTGCTTCCGAATCTTTTGAATCTTTTCTGGGGAGGTGAGTGTTTAGTCCAGTGGAGCTATTTTTGAGTGAGACAGAGAGAGCTAGAGAGAAGCACAGCTTTGAAGACGGCTGCGGTCGATCTCTACGTTATTAGCTCATATCCATGAGCTTCTTCCACTCTACACCTCCTTCTCTCCGGAGCTTGTGAATGATGTCCTCCTCAAATTCTCTTTGACCTTGATGAACTCCGGAGCGCTGCGGGAGCACTCCTCCTGCCGTTCCTGCTCCCGCTCCAGCTGTAAAACACGTGATGCATTTATTATAGATCACTTGTATATAGGATTCTTGTATACAAGCTGCTTTCTACTGGTAGACCTTGTGTTCTTATTGCCGACCCATTCTAACCTCGATATCTTTGTAAGTGGTATAGTGATCAGACAATACCTCCTCAAGCTTTTTGTGCCTCTTGAGGAGCTCCTGCTCCAATGGGGAGATCTTCCTCCTGGCCTCCTCCTCCAGCTTCCTCTGTTTGATCATCTGCTCCCTCTTCCTCTGCTCCAACACGCGCTGGAGCTCCGGCTTATTCTCCACACCCCTATCAGGGATAGAGTAGAGTTATGCTGAAGAAAGACTGGATGGAATATTCTCTGTGCATGAGAAGGAATAGAATGCAACTGAATGGTGTACAGTGGAATGGAACAGAATGGGATACAGTGGTATTAAGGCTGTGTACAATATGTTGTATGGCATAATTAGCAATGGACGGAACAAAATAGAATACAGTGCACCCTTGTAGGTAACTTTGGGGTCTTGAAGATGGTTCAATTGCCATTGATTGGAAGGATTTTACTCAACAAGTAGTAATCATGGTGAACGTGGAGGGGCTTCCTGAAGTTCTCAGGGACAATATTATTAAACAGCACTTGAATGGAAGAGATACAGAGCCATATAAAGACCTTAAACATCCCTGCCAGTACAGTACAGTACAGTAATATGCAATTAGATGGTAGAATAGAACCTCAAATAATCATTCCATGCAAGAGTTCTCTCAGACTAATGTTAACTAATGTTATGGAAGGTAAGAGAGCAGCCGGCAGTCACTTGAAAAGAGTTGTAGGATGACCTGAAAGCAGCAGGAACAAGAGTTACATAGAGAACAATAAGCAATGAACTGCACCATGATTATGTCCATTCCTACAACCCCTCACAAAACTCTGTAGAACAATGTAGTTCAGTCTGACAAAGCAAAAACAGAACTCTCTGGCAACAATTCAGCTCATCGTGTCCCAAGAATGCCGCATTCACAGTGAGGTACGCAGCTTGGAGTATCATGATATGGTCTGCTTTCCTGCAAATGGCACTGGGGCCTTCCATGTCATCGAGAGAGACCTGGAAAATTGAATCCCATCAACTAAGAAAGGGGAGAAGATGGATGTTTATTCAAGACAACAACCTCATGCAGCCAAAATAAGACTATAAGACTGGCTTCTAAAAGAAGGTGACCTCCTGAGTCCAAAAATGTTGAAATTTATGAGGATTTTAAAAGTGCAAGTCCGACAGAGGTACCCTCATAATCTTGGGGAACTGAAGACCAAGAGGAATGGGCCGACACTGAACCACAATGATGCAAAATGCTACTTGTTACTGTTGATGTCTCAAAGCTGTTATTGCAACAACCGTTTTGCAAGAACTAATATATTATTAGTTTGTGGTACTTTAAAGAAAAACATCTCATGTTAATGAAAACAACTTTTGGTTCATATTGGCAAGTGCAGTCAAAAGACTTTATATGTGTATATTTGGAGGTATAGTAAAGTTCCTCAATACTTGTTTACTCTCACTGTAGAATGGAATGGTGTCTGATACATGGCAATCTGATATATGGCAATATATGGATTTAAAATATGACACATTTCCCTTAAATCCAACTTATATAAGCCACACATGGGCATGTATGTGACATATATGACAACTTATTTGAAATTGGCCATTTTCAAACATATATTTCAGTCGTAGCCTATATCAACATATATAAGCATATATGTGTATCACATATATTTAACAATATTAAATATTAATCATATTTGGGTGGCACATTTTACTGATAAATGCCAGCTTCATGTTACTTAATATAAGATGTCATTGAATGTATATTTCTGGTGTATTTATTTTGTTTTTTTGCTTAAATAAAAAGGCTTATATATGTGTAATATATATATATATATATATATATATATATATATATATATATATATATATGTTATACATATAATGCATGTAATTGTCAGACATATCATTGATACTTGATACATGTACCTATATTTTAAAATATCTGCCCGAGTCTTTATGATATATGTGCATATATGGCCACACATCAGTCTGTATGGGTATTTATAATGATGTATGGCATAAGCAGGAAAAGAATAAAGCTTTTCATCATTTATCCAGCAGATGGCACTCTAGTCATGCTTTAAGAAAGCTGACCGCTGGAGACATTAGATAGAGAGATAGCTGTGTAACAGAAAACAGATCAATGTGGCAGCATGATTGCTGTATTTCAGTTACTTAGATATACAGATTTCTGCAGAATTTAATTATTTGTTAAAAAAAAATGAGGGGTAATTCAACATGACACTGGGACTGAAATCCACCGAGACTGATTTGGAGGGTGGGTGTGTTCCTCATTACATCAGACTGGAGGAGTCACATCCAAACACACCAAAACATGATTTTTTTGCCGACTCTGATGTCAGAATACGTCAATAGGCTCTTCAAGACCAGACTTCCATGGGATTAGACTACTTCCGGAAGCACACTCGCACCTACACAACACTCCCTCGCTGACTGCTAATTAAATTAGGTGTGAGTCTGTTTCCTCCACTGGGAGGTGGCATCACGAGTGCGGAGAAGTGGGAAAGCAGTGTGGTGTGTGCGCGAGTGAGCGTGTTTTTGTGTGCCACATTGTAATTAGCATCCCTTCTAATTTATGTGGTGTCCGTCAAAACCGGGGAGACATGGCAGCAGCAACAAACAAACAAAGCAGCGATTAATGAGGTGAGCTAGAAACACAGCCGCTCCCACCCGCACTCCCTCAACTCCCATCTTCCAGACCTCATAATATATGGATCATTCTACTGAGCTGTTCAAAGTCAGAGCTGAAAACACATTTCAGACTTCTGACTTGGACTTTAGGCTATTGAGTGATCCTGAACCTTTATTTTGTTTGTTGTATTAAAATAAATGACTGGACATTCCATTTTGTCACTGGAAACCCAAATATTACATTACAGAAACTTTATCAAATGTTTAGGTACTGTCTTAGAAAAGATGGTTCTACATAGGTTCTTTAGTAAAGACAATGGACCTATATAGAACCATGAACACTCAAAGAACCATCTGCATTCTTAAACGATTCTTTGTGTGGTGAAACTGTTCTTCAGATTGATGGAGAATGTGTTGCACATGGTTCTATATAGAACCTTTTTTGATAGCACCAAAAAGGGTTCTTCTATTTTTAAGCTCTTGACATTGCAACAATAGAACTACTGTTTGTTGCTATATAAAGCCATTCTTCAAAAGTTCACTATTTAATCATGCAAATGGTTCTTTCAGTGTTAATGGTTCTATACAGAACCATTGTCTTTACTAAAGAACCCTTGAAGAACCAAGGGTATAGTAGTCAAAAACACTAGCCAGTTCATAGCTAGCAAACACAGGTTTAAACAGTCATTCACACATAAAATCATAATATTTTGATGAAAATATGTTTCGGTAGTGACAGTTCTTAATGTGATTTTCTGACACATTTACTTCCAAACAATGGGATCTAACTGCTCACCATGTGGCCATGAGGGACACACTTCCTGCTCTAAAATGCAGGGGTGTGGCTAAAATAAGGCCTTGTTATAATGCGTTGTCAGTAGAAGTCAGAACACTACTAGAGTTGTCCCGAAGTTAGGACAGTGTTTAGGAAGTTTTGCCTAAGTAAGATGATTCAGTGATACTCTTTTCTTATCAGTAGTTGAGACAAGATGATCATATTAGGAACTGTTATTTTGTAATAGCCATTGTCATGAATTCAGTCCTAAGTGAAGTTGCCAGGGTGTCTAAATAGATAAGATTTCAGAGAGATGGCGCCTGGCCACACTCACACACTCATGTTTAGCAGGCTGAAGATTTTCCACAAGGGGGCACTAGTGAAAAGTGAAAAGAGGCTGTGTCAGAGACAGAAATATGTTTTTCTGACCACAAATCAGAGCCAGAGCTGTAAATATCAACAGGATAAAATTGAAATATATTTTGTTTACATGGTGGATGTTTCTAATACATTTGTGCATAAAAAGTTTCCAAAATGGAACTCTTCTGAATTTATATGTTCACTATGAAAGACTTAGTGATGCTATATTAAGACCGCCAAGCAGGCAAATGAAGCTATATCAGTGTGGATTCTGAGACTTATACATACAACTCAGCACTTTAATGTACAAAAACTACCTTCTCAATGAACTCTGCCAAAACTCACAGATGTGGTTGCTATGGGAATATGAGAATATGACCAAAAGCATGTTCTACTTGAACTTGTTTAACTACATTAAAAAATCCATGTTATATTTTAACCCGGATTAGGTTGTGCCCACTGTCTCCTATATAATGGGGGGCTACTGCAGCACTGGCTATTTTGCATGCAAAACACACACACACACAGCGCTGTCTATTGACCGCTTCCTGCTGTAATCCATACGCTGCATCTGTTTTCGTTCAAGGTCCAGAGCAAGAATAATACTGTTAAACAAGGAACATCACTACCCTGTTTATGTCTGTTGCTCCCTTTTCTGTCTCCTTTGCTTTTCAGTCCACTTCAATAAACTTTTATTGGTGTGAAACTTTGGGAACGCTCTTGTTTTGAAACTTCCATGTTTGTTTTTTATTGTTACTTTTCAATTGACTAAGATAAATACTTACGGAAGTTTTGGTAAAAGGCCCATATTATTTGTTTTTCTTCACTTATAACATTTGTGTGATTTTATATACCAAAAACAGTCATAACTGATTTCTACATGACTATTTTAACCTCTCTTTATGGCTTAAAATTAAACAAGCTGTTTTTGTCACTGTGCCTTTAACACTGGTATATGTAAATGAGCTCTGTTCTGATTGGCTGCCCTGTATTGCGCCTCATTCGAAAAGCAGTCTGGGCTGAAACACTCCTTAGAACTTTGGTGTGAATGGGTGGGACTAAACTGCTGCAGGCTTAATAGGTGGACATATCGCTGCTGTGGGAACAAAACCTTGTATCTCCATTTCTGTCATTTTCCAGTTTTTGACATAATTTGAAAATGCCTGTCAGCCTTTACATTGCGTGTAAATCTCATGATGAATTGAGCAAAGGAAATGGCCCAAAATGACTTGGAGTCTGATTACATTGACTTACATTAAAAGTAAAGTCGTTTTTTTCCTTCTCCTGTAAAATTACCATTTTGGAGATACAAGGTTTTGTTCTGACAGCAGCGATTTGTAAATGAGTTCTTAGTTTCCATATATAGACCGTATGGGCTGAGGTTAAGTGGAAAAACTTATTTAAAGTCACAGGAAAAA